AAAAATGAGGATTTAAAGAAGAAAAATGAGGATTTAAAGAGAAAAACTTGTGATCTTGAAAATGTGATTTCCAAATTTACTTTGAGTAAAGAAAAATTTGATTCTATCTTAAAATCTCAAAGAAATGTTTATGACAAAGGGGGCATTGGATTTGATTATTCTAAAAAGCAAAAGACTTTTAAGACTACCTTTGTAAGAGCAAGTCAATCCTATCATCCTAATGTTACTTGCTATTGTTGTGGTGAAAATGGTCACTTTGCTTATGCTTGTCCTTTAAAAAGATTAATAGCTCAAGGTCAAGTGAAACAAATTTGGGTTCCAAAAGGAACCATAAGAACTAACCCCCAAGGACCCAAACAAATTTGGGTACCTAAGATTAAAAATTGATTTTTGTTGTGTAGGTGTGCCTTGTGAGCAAAATGAAGAACAAATGGTATCTAGATAGTGGATGCTCAAGGCACATGATGGGTGATCCTTCACAATTCTCATCACTCATGCCCTTGGATGGTGGAACCGTGACCTTTGGTGACAATGGGAAAAGAATTGTGAAAGGAATTGGTAAAATTGGTAACAAATCTATTTCTTTTGATGATGTTTGGTATGTGGATGGATTGAAGCATAACTTACTTAGTATTAGTCAATTATGTGATCGCATGCTTAATGTTATATTTTTCAAGTCTCATTGCAAGATTATTGATTCTAGAAATGATCAAGTGTTGTTTGTTGGCAAGAGACTTAAAAATGTGTATGTGATTGATTTGCATGATATTGATGCTAATATTTGTCTTGCCTCTATACTTCATGATGACACTTGGTTGTGGCATAGAAGATTAAGACATGCTAGCATGAGTGTTATCTCTAAGTTATTAAAGCATGATCTTATTGATGGCTTGCCTAGGGTGAATGTAAATATTGATAATGTATGTGATGCATGCATGAAGGGTAAGCAAACTAGAGTTTCCTTTAAGACTAAGAATTGCATCTCTACAAATAGACCTCTTGAGTTATTTCATATGGATTTGTTTGGACCTATGCGCACTCTAAGCATTGGAGGAAAATCATATGTGCTTGTTGTAGTTGATGACTATTCTAGATTTTCATGGGTTGCTTTTCTTGCACATAAAAATGATGCACTTGATGCCTTCAAATGTCTTTATAAAAAGCTTCAAAATGAGAAAAGTTTATCTATTGTTTCTATTAGAAGTGATCATGGGGGAGAATTTGAAAATAATGACTTTGAAGATTTTTGCATTGAACATGGTATTGATCATAATTTTTTAGCCCCTAGAACTCCTCAACAAAATGGGGTGGTTGAACGAAAAAATTGGACTATTGAGGAAATGGCAAGGACTATGATTTGTGAGAATGATTTGCCAAAATCCTTTTGGGCCGAAGTCGTTGCAACCTCTTGTTATTTGTTGAATAGAGTTATGGTGAGGCCTATTCTTAATAAAACCCCTTATGAAATTTACAAAGGAAGAAAACCTAAGATTTCCTACTTTAGAGCTTTTGGTTGTAAATGCTTTGTCTTGAACAATGGAAAGGACTCTCTTGGAAAATTTGATTCTAAAAGTGATGAAGGCATCTTTGTTGGATACTCTACTTCTAGTAAAGCTTACCGTGTGTACAATAAACGTACTAAAGTTGTTGAGGAATCTATTCATGTGGTATTTGATGTGACTAACCCTATTTGCTCTAGAAAGCCTTGTAATGATGATGATGTAGATGCCGTTGGAAAACAAATAAAAGATATAAATCTCAAGGAGGACAACACCAAGGAAGCTCAAGATGAGAAAAATGAGGAGGACAAACATGAAGAAGTGCAACAAACACATGAGCTAAGA